AAGGACTGGGATTTGCAGGATAAAATTTAAGGGATATGTATTGGGAATAGGATGTGCAAGTGTACAAATTAATTCTAATTGTCAATTGTTGATAATTCAAAATTGGGGCGATATTGATTTAAGGCATGATGGGTATTGGGGATTTAATAATATATTATGTGGAGGAACATGAAGATGTATCCACATATTATAACAACAATACCATGAAGATGTATTCACAGCGATAGATAACAAAGTTAATAGAACTAAAAAAATCGTAGTAATAATAAAAATAATAAATATGCATTAAAATAACTTAATGCTAACTAGAAGCATGGGATAACAATATACAACAATTAGTTTGTAACTTGTAATAGGCTTCAATTAGCCTCAGCGTTTTATATAAGACAAGAGAAATTTTATTGAAAACAAAGTCTGAAGATTTTATTGAAGGTTGAAAACTCCATCTTTAAATACAACTTTAGGTTTATATAAATATTTTAAACTACCCTATTGACAGAATAACTTCCTTCCATCTATCTAATCTAATTTGTAATCCCAATTTCTTCCTTCACCAATTTACTCTTTCCATGGCTAAAAATAATTATTGCAATAATGAAATGCTTTACATTCATCTTTTTGATGAACTTAAATGAGACATGTGTAATCAGATGTCTTGGCATCAATGATTAAAAGCTTCACGTTCATCTTTAGATGAACATAAACAGAACATGTGTGAATCATATGATTCAACGCCTTGTTTACATATCAAGAACTGTAACCTTCTTGATTAAGACATCTCAAGATAATTGCACCTTGAACCATTGGTCTTTTCACGAAACTGTCTAACTGAGTTTCAGTAATATCTTTTCCGTACGGGGCCGTGGAATGGTGGTTCATACGGCCAGTTCAACAATCGATGGTGATCGTATTGATTCTATCGGAACACTGCAAACTTCTAATCTCAGATTGCCAATTACGGTAATATAATATACTAATATATAGAAAATACAAATAAGGAAATAAAATAGCTTATGTATGATAAGATAAATAAAGTAAAGGTCAGTAGCACTACTGCTAGCCCTAAAAAGGATAGAAAAAAAATAATCATGTGATGGACGTACAACGGTATATGTATCAATGCCTAAATAAATTATTACGTATTTAGTCTACTTTTGTAAATTAGTATCTATTATAATTTTATTTATCATCATCGTTATTGGACATTTTAATAATGGGATTTCTAATTAATTCCTAGAGCGAATAGTGATAGACCAAAAATTATCATTATTGTTGCAGGTCGGAAGCTGGTGCTATGCTCAAATTTCTATTTTTAGTTAGTATCATATTATTCTCCATTATTTTATATACTTCTTATTTTAGTATAGTTTGTGGCATAGTGGGAGATTGAGAGATAACAACCCTCAGCGAGGGATAATAACCCTCAACGAGGGATTAAAACCCTAAACGAATTAAAGATATATAAGGGGGGTGGTAACAACAGTTGATAGAACGATTATTGATGAGTGAATAATATTTGAGCATTATTGTAATATTCCGATATATTGATTTATACTAATAAAGAGAAACCTTAACCTGTAATTATGAACCATTTACCCTTAACCACTATTTGTTCACGATCGAAGCTAAATTGGCTATAGTAACACCGGACATCGCCTTAATTTAGAACAGCTTAGTAAGGTCTTCCATTCCGCTCCCCTCCACTCTAGCCCAATTATCACATGTTAACCAACAATGAATATATTTTATTATTAAAAGGATTTTTATCATACTACTATTTTATTATATGTGAAAAGTATGAGATAATTTGCTAAAATAGAAGCACTGATGTAAAATCATCGCACGTGAAGGGATCTTAATTTATAATAAATAAATTGTCTTCAATTTCGCATGAATTACGTTGTTGCAAAGTTATTGAGGATATTGAATCAATTTCGACAGCATTTACAAACTCTAACTTTACTTTACGTTGTTTATAATCTAACTCATTTTCTTCTTTCTTAAGAATTCCTTTCCATTCCTGAAGCTTCTTACAAACTTCTTCGGCAGTTGGCCGTTCTGATGGTTCTTTGTGTATGCAACTTTCTGCAAGCTGTTTATAATAATTAGGAGTTCCTGGAGCAAATTCTAATTGTAATTCAGATGACTTTCTAGTTGACATCTCTGAAATTATTCCAAAACTATAAATATCTGATATTTCTGTGTAATTCTGCAACCTCCTGAAGAGAATTTTGGTTGTAATTCAGATGTCTTTCCAATTGACATCTCTAACATTATTACCCCCAAACTATAAATATCTGACGCTTTTGTATAATTCTGCGCACCTCCAGATAATATTTCAGGTGCAATATAAGCTTCTATGCCGAATATTTTATTGTCTGTTGCATCATCTATTTTTCTAGAAAAACCTAAATCTATGATCTTTGGTTCTATATTCGACTTATTTTTAGCACCTTGTGCAACTTGTGAAACCACTACGATTCTATTACCTAGGGGATATACACTAATTTCAATATCTTTAAAATCCCAGACACTCGTCATTATTATATTACCACTGTGAAGATCTCTATGGCATATTTCTTGCTTATGAATATGATTTAAATTATCTGATATTGAGCAAAGAATTTCTATTCTTTTTTCCCATTTAAGAAAATTTTTGGATACGTAGTCCCTAAGAACTCCTTTATCTGCATACTCCAAAACCATCATATATTTCTTGTTATATGGATCAAAAGTAATTCCATATGTCTCTATTGCATATTTTTCCACATCGTATTTTTTAAGCTGACATTCATAGGAAGCTTTAAACTTTATATAAAAGAAATGAAACTATTAACATTACAATACTTATTTCATTATAAAAAATAATTATAGTAACTTTATCTTTACCTCTTCCAGAAAATCACCTTCTTTTAGTCCTTTTAAAGCAACTTTGCAGTTCTCTTCACGAGATAGCTTTATTTCTTTATTTTCACTGAGATATTTCCGTTTTCCATCAATCCAATTTGCAGAATAAACTATACCAAAACCACCTTCACCAATTCGTTCAATATTGTTTAATCTTTCGAAAGGTATCCACTCAATTATTTTGTCATAATAATTTTCCGACTTTTGTGTATTTTTAATAATTTTTCATTGTTACTACTCCACTGTTGATTTAAATCACATTTATGACAAAACGCAAATCCAGTATTATGATGTCCATTTGCACAACTTCCGAACCACATAGAAGCTTCTTCATATCTTTTTATTATTTTTATATTATTTGATTTAATTCCCAGTGCTTCATTAAAGTTAGCAATTGCTTCTTCATATTTACCCAGAGATTGATAAAGTAGTCCACGATTACTTCTGGCTATAATATTATATGGATCGATATCTATTGATTTGTTGAAGTCTGTGAGCGCTTCATTATATCTGCCCATATTATAATACGTTAACCCACGATTGTTCAAAAATTTAGAATTATTCTGATCGAGTTCCAATGCCTTGTTTAAATCTTCAAGTGAGTTTTCATATTTACCCATCAACTGATAAGTTATTCCACGATTATTCAATGATATAGCATCATTTGACCTAATTTTTAATGATTTATTAAAATTATCAAGTGATTCTTTATACACATTATTATTCTGATAAGTTAATCCAAGCCTGTTATATGGCGTTATTTGGATCAATTTCTTTTGACTTTTCTAAATCATCACGAGATTTAGTATACATGCCCACTTTTCTATAGGTTGTTCCACGAAAATTTAACGCCAAATCATAATCAGATTTAATATTTAGTGATTCGTTTAAATCTTCGAGTGATTCTTCAAATTTGTCCATCTTTTGATAAGTTAATCCACGGAAACTCAATGTTTCGGCATTATTTGGTACGAGTTTTAATGATTTGTTGAAATCTTCGAGCGCATCATTATATCTGCCCATTTCTTGTAAAAACATTCCTCTCAGATTTAGTGCTGAAAAATCTTTAGAATTACTTTTTATTAATTCATTTAAATCTTCAATTGATTTTTCTTTTTCACCCATTAAATAATAAATAAGACTACGAAGATTTAATGCTTTGATCTTATTTTCTTCTATTTCTAATATTCTATTAACGTCTGTAAGTGCATATTCGTACTTTCTCAAATATTGGTAGGTTAAAGTACGGTTGAATAATGCTATCTTATCGTCATGTTTAATTTCTAATACTTTGTTAAAATCAAAGAGTGAATTTTCGTATTTGCCTACTCTTTGATAAGTTATTCCCCGGAGATTCAATGCCATAACAAAATTTGGCATAATTTCTAAAGATTTATTTAAATCTGCAAGTGATTCATCATATCTTTCCAATTGTTGATATATGCATCCACGGAAACCTAATACAATTGCATCGTTTGGTCTAATTTTTAATGATTTATCTAACTCTGTAAGTAAATCTGTAATTGATTTTTCATATTGACTCATCATTTGATTAAAAACATTACTAACATTCCGTGTCAGAATATTGTTTAAGTCATTCTTTGATGAATCCTTGAAATGTGCGAACAATTCATCGTATTGGCCCGTTAACAGATAGTTTGTTAATTTATGAAAATCATTAAGTACTTTTCCAAAACCAAAATTGTTGAATGTTTTTGCATTAGTTGGCATAGTTTCTAATGTTTTTATGTCATTAATTGATTCTTCAGTTCTGCCCATGTATTGAAAAGTCAATGCACGTAAACCTAATGTTTCTGCATCATTTGGTCCAATTTCTAATGATTTATTTAAGTCCTCTAGTGATTCATTATACTTTCCCATATTATGAAATGTTAATGCACGATTATTCAACACTACAGCATCATTTGGTTTAATGCCTAATGACTTAGTTAGATCAATAAGTGAATCTTCATAACTTCCCATATATTGATTTGTCAATCCACGATTACTCAATACTACAGCATCATTTGGTTTAATATCTAATGACATAGTTAAATCAGTAAGTGATAATTCATAATGTTTCATCTTTTGATGAGTTAATCCACGTAAATTTAATGTATCAGCATCATTTGGTCTGATTTCTAATGATTTATCTAAATCTGCAAGTGCTTCTTCGTATTTTCCTGTCTTTAAAAAAATCGATCCACGAATGCTCAATAGCGTAATAGAATTTGGTTTTATTTTTAATGCCTTATCTACATCTAAAAGTGATTTTTCAAAGTTATTCTGCATCAGATAAATAAAACCACGAATACCTAATCTCGTTGCATCATTTGGATTGGCATTTAATGATTTGTTTACAATTTGGACTATTTTTATTAATTCAATATATAATAACTCTTTATTATAACCATCCATCATATAGCAGTTTGAAATTCGAAAAAATTTCGCGATCTCGTTATTGGATTGATTTCTAATGATTTATCTAAATCAGCGAGTGATTTTTCATACTCTCTTAATTTTTGATATGTTAATCCACGATATCCGAATGTAGTAGCTTCATTTGGTCTAATTTCTAATGATTTATTTAAATCTACGAGTGATTCTTCATATCTACCAATTTCCATATAAGTTAAGCCTCGAATACTTAATGCTTCCGCATTATTCTGATTAATTTTTAATGATTTATCTAAATCTTTCAGTGAATATTCACTTAGTATTTGATAGGTGAATCCGCGATTACATAATGTCTCTGGATTGTTCGGATTAATTTCTAACGATTTATTTAAGTCAGCAAGTGATTCTTGAAGTTTGTACATCTTTTGAAATGTTAATCCTCGATTATTCAATGCTTTAGCATCATTTGGATTAATTTCTAATGACTTATTTAAATCCACAAGCGAATTTTCATATTTTTTCATCTTTTGATAAATCAATCCACGATTATTTAATGCCTCAGTGTCATTTGGATTAAGTTTTAATAAATTATTTAAATTCATTAGTGCTTCTTCATTACTACCTGCCATGCTAATATATAATACCTTCCCAGTTACGATATCAGGGTTAAATGCAATTTAAAATGATTAATAAGTGACGAAAGTATAAAAAATGATAACCAAACTAAAATATACACAAGTCAAATGAGATTTCTTTTTATACTGTATAATACGAAAAGAAATAACACTGCCATAATAAGTCTAGCGAAGTTATCCCTTTATTCTAATAATTTTTTGTGTAATAGGTGCAACGGCCGTGATCAGTGTTAATAATAATTAAATATATACTGATACGTAGTTAATAGATTATCATTTTATAGATTACCATTTTAATACTTGTTGTAACCATGTTTTCTTGGCTGTACGTATGTACTTCTATAAATCTAAATTGTTTTTAGCCAAGCCCATTACTGTGTAGAACATATATTTTTCGAGCACTACGTACTGTATTTATAATTTCGGTATACCACGTCGGAAAAACTTTTTGGATCATTATAGAAATCGAAATGATACACCAATTAAATTTCAAACTCGTACGTACGTACGTACTTGAGATAAGCCAAATTATAATTATCAATCTTGTTACTAATCAAAAAATTTCACTTTTAATTAAAGATAAAAATTATTAATTTCAGTTATTACAACCTTTTACATTACTATCTTTGGCCTTTAATATAATTGATTCTACATGTATCTATCTATACTAAAACCGTATAAATATTTATTTAAACAACGTTAAATTGATATAGGGGGGGGGG